CCCTACCTGCCATCCCACAGCACCCGTCAGCTTACCCTCCCAATTGCTCAGCGTTAGCTTCCTAATCTAGGACCAGCAGGATCCCTGTGCCACACTCAGTAATACACAGGCAAAGCTCCCTGCAGCGTCCTTCATTGCACTCACTGCGCTGTGGACTATGTGTACGTAGAGCAGACTCAGATTCAGAGCACAGTGGTTAAGAGTGGGAACCCGGGAGCCAGGTCTCCTGAGTTCTGATCCTGACTGTATCACCCACAGGATGCCTGGCCTCAGGCAGGTTACTCACCTTCCTGTACCTCCATTTTCTCCTCTGCAAAATGGGCATACTAGTGATGCCTTCCCTGTGAGGATCAAACACCATGAATAGAAGGCTTTACAATAGTTGTAATTAACACTTCAGTGGTAAATAATACTCTCGTATATAAATTGCAGTACATGTAATAGTAGTGACGCCAATATTCTCTTGTTACTGTTTTATTGTATGATTAATGTCTGTCTCTTACCATAAGCTCTTGCTCCATGGCGGCAAGAACCATCCTATGTTGCAATGGCACATAGTGGATACTCAATAAATATTCATTGAATGAATGAATGAATAATGAATGAACAAAACAATGAAGGAACAAATGAGTCCACCCATTCACTTGGTGCCACTGTGACGGCTTCTCCAGGCACCATTTTTTATGGCCAGTCTCCTCTGTCACTGACAGCCACAGGCCCCACAGTAATCCCCACAAGTCCTTGGTGTTGAGGTCACCATTTCCCCATGGAAGGGCCGTACATTCTTCCTGCATAACTAACTCACATAGGCCTTCCCAGGAGTCTGCTTCCGTCCCGCCTAGCACACCATCTGTGCATGTCCGTGCAGGGGCTGCTGCCGTCTGGGCTAGGCTCTGAGGGGAGCTGCCTCCTCTGGAGTCGACCCCAGGAGGTGAATGGCGGAGCTGGCACTTGCTCAGATCTCTGACTTCCCCTGCAATATCTGTGTCACCCCTTGCCTCCCACTGCTGGCCTCCAAGGGGAAGAGCCTCTGCCCTGCCCTGCCCCAGGAACTGCTGACCATGAGGCCTCAGAGGGACCAGTGGTTCCAAGAAGCTGGACAGAGCTCCCACCCCCAAGCCCCCATGGCTTCTTGTGCACTGTGTCACCTCCATGATTCTGATCGTCCTTGGTAGCCCTTCTCAGACACAGTGTCTGCATTCTTCCAGAGTTGAAAACCATTGAGGGAAGCTGCTGCTGAAGCCACGTGTTAGAAAGTTTGTCCTTCAACTTCCGAAGCCATATGTAATTGGGGCATTATCACCAGAGGGGCTCTTCCTGCATTTTGCAGGTGCGGAAGCATTTGTGATCATCCCAGGAGTCCTTTAGTCACATAGACAGTGGTGGTGGGGCTTCACTTGGAGGACAAAAGGCGTGTGGAAAGCAGCCTGAGGTTATGCCCTGCTCTCCTTCAAGTCAACTGGAAAGGGTGCTCCAAATTTGGGCCCCAAAACACAGAAAAGTGTTGCTCTGGCTTCACAGTTGTGATTTTGCAAATGGCAGGTGCTCTCACTGTACAGCCCAACAGAGACCCCCCTCTTGGTGCCCAGCTCTAGCTGACCCAGGGCTGCTTCTCACTCGACACTCTCCCTTGCTTGCTTGGTTCAGGTACTAACGTGAGCTCATGGCAGCGTCTCCGCTCTCCTGCTAACCCTCTAGAGCTGTCATTGGAGTTTTCCAGGCCTCTGGTGGTGGATGGGGACAGTGAAGCAGAATGCTTAGGAGCAGATGCGGGTCCTTTAGACCTCCCTGTGGATGGGATTATGGGGAATCCTTGGGTGGGTTGTTAGTCTGTTCCGTGGTTTCTCTCTCTCTGCTTTCTGCACATTCTACTGAAATGCTCAACTGACTGCGTTCACACATGGTGTTGTGGGCCTCAAGTTGCTTGATTGTAGAAAGGCCGTTGTAATGCCGACCTCACCTGGCTTACTCTGGGGATTTCACCAGCTAGGACTCTTCACCTGCTGATGCCCCAGCTGGGCCTTGCCACCCGATCCCTAAAGGGTAGTGCGGCTGTCAGTGTCATCCCGGCTTCAGAATCAAGTCACAGCAGTTCCTGGTGTTTAGCGAAGTGTCGCCTCCCACAGAGCTGTGGGTGTTTTGTTGGTGGTTTCAGATATAATTCACGTAGCACAACATTCATCGTTTTAAACTGTACAGTTAGAGTGTGCGGTGTATCCACCAAGTTGTGCAGCCTTCACCGTTAAGTCCAGAACGTTTTCATCTCCTAAAAAAGAAACCCTGAACCCGTCAGCACCCTCGACCCTCGCTCCCCATCATCCTGCCCCCAGACTTGGCAGCCGCCAGCCTCCTTTCTGTCTTTGGACTGGTCTCATCTGGACATACATATAAATCGAATCACACAGTATGTGGCCTTTTGAGACTGGCTGCTTTACTGTGTACGTGTTAAAGCTTCATCTGTGTTGTAGCATGTGTCAATAATTCATTCCTTTTTATGACCTAATACTCCATCGTAAGGACATCCTGGATTCCGTTTCTCCGTCACGTGACGAACGTTTGGGTTGTTTCCACTTTGAGTCACGCTGTCATGAGCATTCATGTGGCAGTTTTGCACAGACACATATTTTCCGTTCTCTTGGGCGTACACCTAGGAGAGGAATTGCCGGGTCACGTGGTAACTGCGTATACTTTATGAGACACTGCCAAGTACTTTTCCCCAGGGCTCTGTTTTGGAAGGACCCTCCCCACTTAGATTTGACTTTTTCATTAGCTAAAGAAGGCCATTGGTAGAGGCAGGGGAAAAGAAGGGGGTCTGATCACTGAGAGTCTGTGCACTCACGCACAAGCCTTCAGGCCATCACCTCCCCTCAGCAGCCCGGACTCCATGCTCATGGAGAGCCTCCACGTCGTCTTTGCCGCCCTGCACGACCCCTTCCCCACTCATTGTGTCTCCTTTGCCCATCGGTTTCTTTATGTTCTCTCTGCTTTGGATCATGACACCTGCTCTCACCCAGGGTCCTGCACCGGCTGGGAGGGATCTCGTCACAGAGGTCTTGAGGGGCCAGTCTGTGCTGGGAAAGACTACAGCTGAGGCTGCGCTACCCACTCATTTTGCCAGTGATCTAGAACTTTTCTGAGCCAATGAGCAGTGTCATTTCAGAGTCCTGGGGGTAGGAAACTGTCTAGAGGGGTGCTCTCTTCAGACCCATCAGTTTCCTGAGGAATAAGTAAGTGAGTCCAAGTGAGAAAAGAACTTCTCAGCCATGTGGACTTCAGCATATGAACTTGAGCAGGCAGACTTCTCCAAGACTCATTTTTTTATCTGCAAAATGGGCTGAAACTTGCCTATCTGATAAGAGGAGCAAGTGAGATGCTGTGATACCATGTTCAAGATACTCAGAAAATGTTCCTTTTCTCCCCAGCTGCCCCCCGTCCTGGTTAGTAAGAGTGGCTTGTACAGACACTGATTTTGTGGTTCTGCTCACCTCCCTTTTTTTCCTTCCTCCCTCCTTCTCACCCCTTGCTCTTTCCTGTCACCACTTCCTCTCTCCTCCTGCTATCGTCTTAATATGCCCTCAGCTCCTACCCCCAACATGGGTGTTCTCATGATGTGGACCCAGGGAACGGCCAGTTTTCAAATCGCCCGCGTGCTCTCAGGGAGGTAGTCAGGCCAGATCCTCTTAAGGCAGATGAGATCATGCCCTGGGTCATTTTGCCGCGCAGATTCCAGGTCATGGTGGTGGCGTGCACAGCCAGGCAGCGTCCAGGGTGCCAGGGCACATGGACTCCATGGAGGAGGTGGCATGGTCTGGTTTCACCTGTCTGCCTCCCTGGGTTTCAGTTTCTTTACCCTGGGAGATCCTAGCCAGGGGCTAGAGCTTTGAGTTACACTTGGGTTTGAAGTCATCCCAGGGGCCTCTGCTGCAGGAGGACGCACGGCTGAGAGCAGGCAGAGGGAAAGGACACACACACCTGTTGTGGGTCCATTGTTCCAGACACAATGTGGAGTCGAGTGGCTACCTGCAAATAAGGAATGAATGGTTTTCCATGCTGAGGATTTCATACTGTATCAATTATTATAATTACTTTCTTTTTTCTTTCTTTCTTTTTTTTTTTTTTGAGACAGAGTTTCACTCTTGTCGCCCAGACTGGAGTGCAGTCTCATGATCTTGGCCCAATGCAACCTCCGCCTCCCAGGTTCAGGTGACTCTTCTGCTTCAGCCTCCCAGGTAGCTGGGATTACAGGCACACACTACCATGCCCAGCTAATTTTACATTTTTAGTAGAGACGGGGTTTCTCCCTGTTGGTCAGACTGGTCTCAAACTCCCAACGTCAGGTGATCTGCCTTCCTCGGCCTCCCAAAGTGCTGGGATTACAGGTGTGAGCCATCACACCCAGCCTCAATGATTATTTTTAAGTAACTTTATGGACCAAAACAGATAACATGGTTCATGCAGGAAGTTTAGAAAGCAGGAAAACCTGAAGGTTTGAAAATCGAATCCTTACCTCCTCTCAGATGAGTTTCTTCAAAAGTGCCAGAAACTTAATTCAGAAAACGAAAAAGCAAAAACACTGAAATGTTTAGCTAGGAAATACTAACTATGAAGCCACAGGGGCTGTGTTCAGCGACCTTGACCGTTCCCTTACAGTGTCACCTAGGGCATCCCCTCTCTTGGAAAAGTCCTTCTCTCTTTAAGAGAGCCAGTCCACAGCAAAAGTTCTCCGACAAGCCAAGACTCTGAGCCTCCTGGGTGAGCCCAAGCTTCCCAAAGATCTGGCAGGCACATGCATATACAGAAAGACAAAGCTAGCTCTCTGCCTGGGCCTCCTGCCTGCCAAATCCCTATTCCAGAGAGGTGTGTTATTACCACCTCTTCCCACTGTTCCTGTCCCAAATAGCAAATGAGCCTAAGGCAACATTGCGAGGTGGAACCTCCCAGCTCGGAAGCACGGGCCCAGCCTTCAGTGACCCCTGATGTGCATTCTCTCTCGTTTCCAGCTGTCAGGAATGACAGGAACAAGAAAAAGAAGGAGACTTCGAAGCAAGAATGCAGAGAGAGCTATGAAATGACAGCTGAGCTGGACGATCTCACGGAGAAGATTCGAAAAGCTCACCAAGAAACTTTCCCTTCGCTCTGCCAGCTGGGTAAATACACTACGGTAAGAGATGCTCCTGCCCCAGGCTGCTGGGAGTGTGGAAACCTTGCACACGCATGTGTGCAGAGACATGCGCATGTGTACACACACGCGCACATGCACACGCACGCACGCACACACGCTTTGCCCTCAGTCTGGCAGGGACTGGCATGTTAGCCAGCTGGGGGTATGTAGTAGCCACTTCGCCTGTGCAGTAGCCCTTGGGCTTGGGCAGTCGGTGAGCAGGCTGAGTGCCTCCTCACTGCAGTCATGAAGAGAGGCATTCACTCCAGATGCATTAACTGAGTATTTACTGTATGGCAGACGGCATTCTAGGCCCTGGCATCATGAACTACTCAGTGCTGCTCTCAGGGACTTTGATATGGTGAAGGAAACAAGTAAAGCCTGTGAAACATGCCCTGGGTCATGACAGACACCTGTACAGAAGGACCCGGGGGACAAGGTCCCACTCTTTTAAAAACCCTAATCCAGCTATGAAATCCAGCCAAGATAATGCGGCCATCCCCTGGGCCAAAGTCTGCCTTCTGTGAGAGGACATGCACAAACCCCTAAGCCAGGGCTGAGAAGTTCGGGGCCGGCATGCCCCGTGCCCTGTTGAGTGAATGTTCCCCCTCTGCTTCCCAGCGTTCCACTAGGAATGGCCTTTCACTGAGATTAGAAATAGAGGCAGGAAAAAGAGAAGTGAGATGAAAAGGTAGGAGGTGTATGTCGGGTGGTCTGGATCGTCCAGTGGAGAGGTCATGAGGTACTTTAATTTTTCCAACTGTTTTTTGCCTGTATTATGTTCACTGGTGTATATTTCTGACTTGTGGCGGGTAATAGACACTCAGTGGATATTTGATGAATTAATATAACTAGAATGTTGCTGTGGCATCTTTAAAAAGCTCAGTTCACTCACCTATAATGCTATAGTTAACATACTTTAAAAAAAAATCCCATTATTATAGCACTTGCTGGTATGCTAGAAAAAGGATAGCATGGAAGGTCCTCGAGATAAGAAGACAAAATAGTGATGCCGGAAAGACAAAAGAACCATGAGCAGCGGGCCTTTGCAGCTCTTCACGGTGAGCAGGGGTGCAGGGCGCTAGCATGCTGCCGCCACCATGTATGTAACACGAGAATGGTGACCAGGAGCAGGCCCAGAGGAGTGCCCATGGAAACTGGTGCTGGCGCACACCTGGGTGGCTTCTCAGATGAGCACGAGGCTGCACAGTTGGGTGGCACCAACTTCTGAAGGGCTGGCCCCATATTAAATGGACAAGTCTCCTGGCTAAGGCCAGAGACTTCAGCTCACCTAGGAGTAGAAGCAGAACCTTGAGCAGTGCTTTTCAAAACTCAGGGTGCGTCTGAATCACCTGGCGATCTTGTTGAAATGCAGCTCTGGTGGAGTAGGCATGGCCTAGGGGCATTTCAGGCATTCAGTAGCATTTCAGCCATTGTACTGGGCTGTGTATCAAGATGAGGGCATCTTGACCTAAGCTGCTGGGCTGCGTGCTACTGGCCTGCAGACCACACTCTGAAGAGCAAATGAGATGGGCTTTGAGAAGCAAGACCCAGGGTGGCACTCTGGGGCCCACCTCACCCATGGGTGCCAGCCAGGAGAAACACTGGCACGTCTGCCAGGCTGAGAATCAGGCTTGGCTTAACGTCAGCCAGTCTTCGCTGAGTGTAGGGAGCACTGTCCCATCCCAGAGCAAGGACACAGGGCAGGACAAGACTGGACACTGCAAGGGGGCTTTCACTTTCACCTGGAGAAAAGGTGGAATGTGGCAGCACGTATCCAGAACAGAGGCCAGGAACCACAGGGGTGTAGTTTGCGTCCTGCTCAGCCGCCATCAGCCCTGGGACAGTGAACAGATTACTTCATGTCTCTCAGCCTCAGTTTTCCCGTCTCTGAATGGGAATAATGTGAAATCATTGGGAGGATGAAATGAGACAATTTATGAAAAGCTGCTGTGGTGGGCCCTGAAACTATCTTCCCAGCAGTGGGAGTGGCAGAAACGTCATCCAGCCACGCAGCTTCTTCTGGGTGTGAACTGGCCCTCCAGGGGCCTGGCCCCCTGAGATGGGCGCATCTGACAATATAGAAAAGTAACATGCTGAGTAACCAATCCCAGAGAGTTCGCCATTCATTTCCTTTAGGAGGATTTACTAACTGCCAACCATTCCGGAGCATTCCAGGCATTGTACTGGGCCGTGTATCAATGTGAGGGCGTCCTGATCTAAGCAATGAGGGAACTCAGGCTGGGACAGTGGGAAGGAAAAAGAGAAGATGAGAGAAAACAGGTGCTGTGCAGCGCTGGATGGTGCTGAGCTGAGAGCGACTGGGACGTACCGACAGAAAAGCCTGGTAGGGTCTTGAGTGCCAGTTGGCGAGTCTGTATTTTAGTCTGTAAATAACAGTAATTGACAGGCTGTGGTCAAAAAATCTTTATTATTATCATTGTAATCATTGTTACTTCTAATATTTATTGAGCATTTACTGTGTTCTAGGGACCATGCTAAGCACTGTAAGTGTACTAAGTCTTTTACTCCTTATGAGGACTCTATGAACTGGGTTTCATTGCCCTCACGTTACAGATGCGAAAGCCCCGTACCAAGGAGCTAGGTAACTTCCCCCTTGTCTTCAGTCTACACGTGTCAGAGGTGAGACTTGATCCTGGACAGTCTGACCCCAGGCAGCTCTTTCAACCACTGACTACACACAGAATCCCTCAGGAGGGTTGCCACAGAGAATGTAATCCGGGGCCAGTGACGGCGTCTAGTTAGCAGAGAGCTGTGACGTGGGAATAAATCAATCTTACAGCTCCAGGAAAGTCAGCGGAAAAGAGATCAGAGTGGGGAGGTCTTCCTAAAAGAGGCCTTTGAGCCAGGTCAGGAGGTGAGAGACATTATATGGCAGTACCTAGGGCCGCTAATTGCTACATCGGGGGCCCTCCATCTCCTCCACATGCTGTATTAGCGTGGCCAAGCCAGTCCTCAGACCCTGACTCACCTAGTAACCAGGTGAAATGGCTCCCACTCGAATCCGGAGGAGGGCAGGACAAACACAGCGTACAGCATCTGCCCCCGCCCAGAACACCTGCCCTGGCATGACCAGGGTTCCCTCCTGCAGGCTGGGTCACGTGTGAGGCACTGGCACTCCTTTGAGCGTTCCCTCACCACTGATGAATGGAAGCTGGAGGGGTAAGCCCGTCAGTTTCCTTATTCCTTGGGCAGGAGAACTCTTGGTTACCCTCTAAACCATCTCCCAGAGTTTCCCAACTAGATGGAGCCTGAGTGTCCACAGTGAGGCTCGCTGGCTGCCGTCCTTCCCTGCCCACTCTGCTCTTCCAGCACTTCCTGGGATCTCCTCCCACATAAACTCCATGCGTTCAAATTCCACTCTCAGCCTCTGCTTATGACCTGAGAGAGAGAGAGAGAGGTAGAGAGAGAGGTAGAGAGAGAGGCTTTCCTGCAGGCCTCTAGGGCCGCCCTTTCCTTTCCACCCCAATTGGGGGTTAATCACCCCTGTCCTCTACTAGGGCCCGCCATCCTAAACACTTTGTGGGGACTTTTTTACACCTCTTTCAGTCAGGCAGGAAAACCAGAAACACAATTCATCTCTAGAGCATGGCCCTTCGCTACCGGGCATCCTTCCAGAGGCCTGCTGCCCACCGTGGGGTGGAGGGCGCACTCAGCCAGTGTCTCAGCCAGCCGTGCCCTTCATTTCTACTGTCTCTCCCCAGATCTGGCTGTGTTTTTACTGCGAGCCACTTAAAATCCTTTCTGGAAGTAGCTGGTATAAATAAATAACAGCAGCCATAACACATTCTCTGCAAGCTCTTAGTTCCGAGTCGAGCAGTTTTAAAAAGAGCTTTTTTTAGACAGGCAGTTGCTTCCACTGCAAGAACTTCCTGTCATCCTCACCCGAGTGCCATCCCTGTCAGATGCCTTTGGAGTTAGTGGGCAGAGAGGAATAAAAAAGGCAGCCAGCTGCGCATCTACAGGGCTTTGAAAGAGTAGTTCCTTTTTCTTCCCTAATTAGGCTAAGATTTGGGACAAATGGTTAGGTCCCAGGAGGCTGCAGGAATGGATGGAAGAGGCAGAAACATATCCTCACCACCCCCACCTCAGGCCAGAGCAGGGCACTTACCCGAAATCTTCAGAGCTGGCATCCCTGGGAAGGGTTCTACCCAATGACCCTCCATCTCCATAAAAAGAGAGAGGGTGGATTCCCTGTGGAAAGGTGGAAAGCAGGAGAGAAGCTATTTCTAGAAGAGCTTTCCAAAATAGAATCAGGAGTGAACCAGGGGCAAACCCCCCGCTCTGAGGATGTGTGCCCCACTTCTTAGGGTGAACCCTAGTTGACTGTGTCATTTGGGCTTTAGGGCCTCATACATTCAAGTTCTGCTTAGGTGTCGTGTGACTTTGGAATGCTACATCATAGTTGATACCTCAGCTCCTTCATCTGTATAATGGGAGGGGTTTTTTTCTTTTTTTCTTTTCTTTTTTGAGGTGGAGTCTCACTCTTGTTGCCTGGGCTGGGGTGCAATGGTGTAATCTCAGCTCACCGCAACCTCCAACTCCCGGGTTCAAGTGATTCTCCTGCCTTAGCCTCCCGAGCAGCTGGGGTTACTGGCGCCTGCTACCAAGCCCGGCTAATTTTTTGTATTTTTAGTGGAGACGGGGTTTCACAATATTGGTCAGGCTAGTCTCGAACTCCCAACCTCAGGCAATCCACCCACCTCAGCCTCCCAAAGTGCTGGAGTTTTAAAACACACCTGCCTCCTGCCCGGAGCTTTCCATGGGAAAACTCTATTGAGCACCATGCAGTTTCTGGCTCAGAGGAGGTGTTCAGAATGTGCATCTTTCCTCCTCTCCATCCCATCAGAAACGTGTCGTCAGTTCTTTCAGCCACATGCCCAGGCTCTGTAAAGTAGCGTGGGTGTGACGGTGGGACAGATTTGTAGGAGGTGCAGCCCCGACCCTCCGCTCTCGCTGCCTGCTCAGGGCTGCCTCTG